GGATTTAATTGGAAATTTAGATTGATAATATGGTATGTTGAGATGTGTTAGCTCAGAGTTGTTTTGCATTATATTTTTAGGGTCTTTGTAAAGGAAAGACTATGTTGACAAGTAGTTTTCAAGATCCGATCTGAATCTATATAAGCATTTATTTTCTAAATTTTTATATAGTCATGCCTAATTATTTAGTCTGTTTTGTTATGTGTTTCGGGCTGTAACCATGTACTGTAATATAATTATTGTGCATTTATATTTTGATGATAAATGCATGAAATTTTATGGATGGGTAATTTTATGTATATTAGGAGTTATTAGTAACTATATGGTTTGAGTGTTGTTTGTTTTAAAGTTTAAATTGGATAAAAAATTCTAAATAATTTCCAAAACTTATATCTTAAAGTAAGTCTATTGAAAGCCAACACAATAGGACTTGACCCATTTGTGGGTCTTATCGAGTTGGATTGTGATAGTCTTCTCTTTTTTGTGTCATAGTAGTAGTTTTGAAAATTGAATGTTAAACAGAACTATAAGATTAGATCTGTAAGCAAAGTGAGATAGCTTTGAGTCTGCCTGGGCATTCATTCTTGTTTGTTTTTATGTGCATATATATTCAGTTGAGTGTTTTGTGTGATTATGGATCCACAAGATCCTGATATAATAAATGGCCATTATTAGTGTGAGAGCTCGTTTCTTTGATTTAATCGACCTGTACATTGATGTTTTAAATCTTATAGATTTTTGTTAGACTGTCTGATTGATGTTATAGATAGCTCTGGTAATTGGTTTTGATGAATTGATTGAAATTCTTTCCAAGTTAGATCTTGGGGCGTCACAATTAGTTAGGCAACACCAGTACAATATTGCTCCAATAGTCAGTTCTGATATTGTTTCATAGTTTGTTAGTTTGATAGTCCAACTAATAGGTGAGGCATAGAGTATGGTTCTTATTGCTTGATGTGATGATTTAGACCGAAATTTATAGATGTTTTTGAGGTTGAAGGCTCTGAGGTTTCAAGCAGCTGTTAAGCCCATAACAGAGGATTGATTGAGAATATTGGAGAAGACATTTGATGGTATGCAGTGTCTTCCTGAGAGGAAGATTCCTTCGACAATTTTTTTGTTAGATGAAGAGGTAGAGCGCTGTAGATGGGCCAATGGGAGGAAAAATTTAAGGGGAGACTGAACTCTTTGATCAGGTAGGAGGAATTCATTGATATATTTTGAGCATGATTTGTACCCCTTATGTATGTCAATAGATGCAGGAGACATTTTTAGGTTGGTTCAGGGGAGCCAAATATGTCATACAGTACGAGGCAGATTTTATTGTTTTAGCCAGATATGCTCCACAGTTGGTTAACACACCCGAGTATAAGTGTTACAGGTTTTTGAGAGAGCTCCAAGATATTTGAGGTAGCCACTAGTCTCATTTCATCTCTGATTTCTTTAAGTTGGTAGAGCAAGATCATCTGATAAAGAACAATTTAATAGCAACTCAGCTGTGATGGACTGCAAGTACAAAGAGGTTTGATGGTAATACCTCTAACAGTGGCTAGTCTGGGAAGAGGAACAAGTTTGGACTCCCCAAATCTTGACAAGTCAAACAAGATATTTCAAACAAAATTCTTCACCAAGCTCATCAAAGCAAAAAGCATAGGGCAAAACATATATTCAACTCTTGACAAGTCCACAGAGACAATTTAGGTCAAATTTTTTCACTAAGTTTGTCGCACAAAGTATAGGATGAAAAGAAACTTAAATCTCAAATTTGCTAAAATAAGACCTTCACCAAGTCTACCAAAATAAAAGGTACAGGAAGAGAACTTAAACATAAGGCAAGATTAATAATGAGGACATCGACAAACGTTATTGATGAGTATATCAGCGCAGGAGTCGTAGATCGATGGCTACGATCCATAGTCTTTATTTCTGATGCTTAGTCTTTATTTTAATGCTTTTATGTATTAATTTTTTTCTGGTTGTACCCTTTCTTTTGAGTCTGCTTGAGTTGTAGCCCCAGGGGCATATGAGTCATTGTACTTTTATTTCCTCAGGCCTATATATTGTGGCCTCCTCTATTGTATTGGATGATGAATTATGAATGAAATTTCAATTTTCTTTGCTTGATCTCTAAGTGAGTTCTTGAGAGGAGAGACCCTAGGTGGGTGAAAGCAATACCCGTCAATCTTTGGTGGATTCCAAGGTTCGCGGTTCTACAATCTCTTTTCTTTTTTTTTTTTTTCTCTATTTCAAAACCCCTCTCCTAACCCATCCACCTGCCGGCCTCACCATTCTCACCCCTTTCTTTTTCTCTTACCTAAGCTTAAACACCTACCCTACCCGCCGCCCAAGCAGCCGGCCACCAGTCCAGCCGCCAGCCAGCCCTCCCCTCTCCCCTCTACATGCTCAACCCGCCGGCCCATAATCCCTAGTCCACCTAATTTGAATTTCGAATTTCAAATTTTGCCATAATTACTTTCCTAAAATTCCATGCTATTTAGGAAAGAATCCTTATTGGCAATCAATCTATTTTGAATTTCAAACCCCTTCCTAGAGAGTTAAAACCCCATTAGGAAATTATTTCAATTTAAATCAAATCAGATTTGATTTCAATCACATTAATTTCCTTGGGGCCCACATATTAAATACAAAACTCCCCCTCTCCCCTCTCACATGGCCGGCCCCCCCTTCCTCATGTTTTCTCTCTCCAATCCAACTCAAATTTCAAATAATGCTCCCCTAATCCTCTCCTAAAACCGCCAGCCCCCTAGCCCTAATTTAGGAATTTTGAATTCGCATTAATTTTCCCTCCCTCTAATTCAAAATCTGAAATTAAAATCAGATTTTCTTTTTTTTCTAAAATATTTCTCCACCTCTCACCCAACTCACATTACCTCTACCTTTCCTTGCCCAAGCCGCCTCTCCCACGTGCCTCTTCCCTCTTGAAGGCCCAACCCTCCGTATGTTTGGAAGCCAAAGAAGAAGACAACATCCTCCTTCCTCTCCAATAGTGTATGGCCGATCCTGAGATCGACCACGGCTTTGTTTACAACGCCCAAGGAGAGATAGACATCTTCCAAACTCCTTTCTACGAACCCGATTGTGAGTACGACGATTCGGTGGAAAGCTACGTCAACCGCATCATCTATTGCCTCGCCGAGACAATCGAGCTTTAACAACCCAGAGTACCGTGGACTCTTATCGGGCATCCCACGCCTCCTCCACCGCCGGCTACCTTCCCAACAACAAAATTCCTCGGCTCCCTTTTCTTAGTGGCAATCTCAAGTCTAGCGTGGAGCATCTTCATCCGCTAAACCCTAGAGTAGTTGAGTGAGAAACCCTTCAAGGTGAACCTCTCATTATTAAATTGTGAATTTATTTAATAAGCTATTACATTATGATTGCCTTTGTATTTGATTAAGAGCGTTTTGATTAATTTTCATGTACTTCTTTGCCTAAGCAAGTGGAAGACTGCGAATTTATAAAATCTTACTTTGATTTGACGCATAATTTTATATTGGTTAACTTTTAATAAATTCTCTTGTTAATCTCTCGTAAACTCCTTGCATGTATGACATCAATTATACTAAAGCCATAAATATGCATCAAGGAAGAGCAATTTAGAACATTCCCGAGTATTTTTAAGCAAAAATAAGAAGGAACCTATGAAGTAAGAACAATTCTAAAAAAGTTCTAAGGTGGACACATGTAGGACACTAACATTCTTAAGACACCACATAAAATACAATACAACAACAAGAATCATTTATCCCACCACATGTGGTCGGCTACATGAATCATTTTTCTCTACTATTCTATTAAAAATCAATTTCTCATTTAAATCTAATAAAAAAGTTATTTTAATACTCCATAGAATAATGTGTGAAGCCTATCCCTCCACCTCTATTTTGCAACTCCCTTTCTTCCAAAACACTCCTCTCTCTCTCTCTCTCTCTCTCTCTCTCTCTCTCTCTCATCCTTTTTTGCACTTAAATTTATCTCTCCCTGTATATCAGCACCTCTCCACTCTTTCCATGCCTTTTCTTCGTTTTTTGCCTTTTTTTCGTTACTATACTTCAAACTCAGATATTTCAGCCCTTGCTTTATGGCCTTTCTCTATTTTTCTCCCAGAGATTTGTCGCGTGTTCAAAAATTTCTGTTATGAAGAACTTATTTGTGGCCGGATGGATGTCACTGCCACTTGCTAGCTTTCAGATTGCTCAATTTGGTCGATGACAGGTTCTTCTAGCCTAGCTGGTTACTAGTTGCGATAAAGACCCACAAAAGTAGATTCTTTAATCCTAGGACGTCTGGCCAAAATTTATAAAAATAGTTATGAAATATGAAATAGGTAATTTTTAAAATATTTAAAGAATGTTTAAGTGCCTCTACAAATTCTAATTGAGCTATGATGAATTTATGCATGCCACACTTAACCAATAACCATAAATTCTCAACTAAACTCGATCAAAAAATAATAATTAAACTAAGCCCATATAAATCACTCAGTTTCTCGATGAAACTAGTTGACCCTTGCAGTAGAAGAAGCTATAAATGACGGCTTGGATTCGTTCATGAAGCTCACCCTCCGTAACATACGGTATATGCACGCTACTGACACTACTGTGTTCAGTAAATTTAGCATTTGCAATCTGATAATATTAGTTAGCATTAGCATTGTAATTCAAGAATGCTATGTGAATTAATTTAAACAAATTGCATCAGTAGACAAAAATTGAGTATTAGTTCTAGGGAATTAGACCACGGATACAGGATAAAAAAGTTGTTCAGTAATATTTGTGTAAAATAGAGTTAATTCCAGTAGTAACACTCAACACAAGTGAACAAGGAAAAGAATTCATAAAGTAAACCCAAATAATTAGGATACTTCTAATGATGATGATGATCAGTCAAAGAAGAGATTGAACATCTCATCTCATTGGATCACCTTCACAAGTGCTTATGCCAGTAAGCATATTCCTGAGGAAGTAAGGAAGAATAACCACCTTAGTTTCAGTAGGTCAGAATCTTTTTTATAGTTTAGCATAACAAGTTCCATGCATTCATGCTCAGTAAACCTTTACTGGCTACATGCCTAGGTTTTCTCCTTTAAACAGTATGCGAACTCATTTTGGGCTTTAACAAAAAACTTAGTACCAAACACCACTACCTATTATGTTAAATAGCAAGCAAAATCCTTGAAGGGGAGCATGAAGAGCATCTAGTGTTGGACACACCAAAAATTCCCATAAGATCACATTAAGCCCTAACAAGATAGGTGTGTAGATAGGATCTTTACCTAATGAAATTTCAAAGTCTCCAATAGGGTTTGCCAGCTAGTGGTCCCCAAGAGGAACCTAGTGTTGGGTAGAGTCCTCACCTATGAAGCACCAACACTTCTCAAAGAGGAATGTTGTATCCGACACGTATCGTACATGACACATGTCCAACACGTCGAAGATGTATCGTTTTAAAAAAATATTAAAAATAAATTGGACACGTGTGTCCGACACCTATTTCTAAAATATTTATGAAAAAAAAAATAAATATAATTTATTGAATCTCACTTTTTTTAGTAAAAATTAAATTTCTTATTTCCTCTTCAAAGCCTAAAATAAATTGTCAGCACTTAATACCCCATTCCTTGAACATTCTTTTTTTTTTCTTCGTTCATTTTCATTTCTCTCTGGTAGGTTGCGACTAGGGTTTTAAAACAACGCTCGATGTCATTTTGATATAGACGTCCAATGCATTACAACATCGGTGTTTTAAAATCATCTCAACATCAAAGTCAGATCTTGTGTTAACATTGAAGCTCTATGCCAATAATTTTTACACCCACAATCACACCCCCATGCTATCTTGACATCTCATTTTTGTCCAATATCATCTTAACATCGACACAAAGTCATCTCAAGATCAACAATTGACATCGTCTTGACATCCATGTTCAAAGCCCATTACACAACAATGATAATTGGCAATCAAAAGTATTGTCGTCTTTGTAACGCCACAGAATTTAATTAAAAAAAAATATTTATTTTATCTTTTAATTAACAATCAAAGTTATCTATTTTTTTTTTATAATAAAATATTAGCGGGAGCAAAATCTATTGATCAAATCATCAATATACATATGTAATCATTGTCCAAAAATCATGTACAATAGCCATGAGTCATACCGATTCAATACACCATCTGCTTGCTCATAACTACAAAAGAATATCTAAAAGACCAAAAGAAATAAAACAATAGTAAAACCAAAGGAATCCTGTAACTGATCATTCTCACACTTCCGATCCTCTTCCCTCACCTGAAATCATTTAAACAATAGATAATGAGCTAAAAAGCCTGACCAATCAAAATGTCCAAAATAATAAGTACTACAACATAGATGTCAATGGTGCAAAATAGCACGCGCCATGGCACACGGCGCGGCGCGGCGCACCTACGGCGCCATGTGTATGGCGAGGCGCAAACGTTCAAAATGGCGCGCGCTATTTGCGCCACAGCGTGCCATGGCGCATGGCGCAGAGCTCAAAATAGCACGCGCCATTTGTTTTAATCTAATTATAAATATTTTTTATATATTTTTTAAAGATAATATATTTTCTAATTTTTAAAAATATTAAAAGTATTAAGATAAATGTTAGATTGCATATTATTATCTTCTTAATGTTATTTACTTTTACTTAAATATATTTTAGTTGTATAAAGATTAACTACTTATTGGATTTGAAATTATGTTGGATTGTTATTTATTTGTATTGTCATTGTTTGCTTGTTATTATGATAGTTTGTCTTTCAATTTAATGATATTTCATATTCATGTTTATTATTTTATAATTCTTTTATAATTTGCGCCATGTTCAAAATGGCGCGCGCCGCGCCTTGCGCTATGCGCCATGGCTCAAATAGGACCTTTGCGCCATGGTGCACCATTAGCCGTTAACAAGTATGACTACAACATATGTAAAGCTAAAAGCCTGACCAGTCAAAATTTCCATCATTGTACAGGGCAGTCAATCTCCAAACAACTTATTTTCACACACATACTATTAAATATTATATAAGCAATAACGACTAGCTATCACCCAATCACATACCAATTATTCATTCATTTCGCTTACAATAATAATAGAAACGGATTAAAATGTTAAAATCACTATTCTTATTAAATCGCATAAAAAGTAATACTTTTAATTAGTGAAATTATGAAATCAACCCGTCAAAATATTCAGAATAATCAATACTATAACATATAAAATGCTACGCGATAAAATTTCACTAAATTCAAAGAATATACAATTAGAATCATTTTGGGAGGAATCAAATTGTCGAAATTAAAATATTTGAAAATAGAAATAGGAAATAAGACATCTACAGTGATCTGAATAATTTTCATATAAGCAGCAAAGCGAACCGACGGCCAAAAATCTTGCTTTCTCTTTCCTCTCTCCTTCCTTCCCCTTCTCTTATTTCCTTCCATGGCAAGCCACGACATGAGGTGCAAGAGGGAGCTGAATAGAGAAAAAATATATACATAATACTTATTTCAACACTCAGTATCACGGCGCCATGAGCCAGCGCCACTGCGATACATGTTAAATCCAAAATTACTATAATATAGAGCCTTTAACACCGCGGTGGCGATTTTTTTGTGCCGCTGTACTCACATGCACAACGCCGTAGCACCCATAGACAACACTATTGTGCTCTAGCTCAAACAAAAATTCATTTTTTTAATATTTTCTAAATTTTTAGGGTTGTTATAATCTACCCACTTTAAAAAAATGTCAACTGCGACATTTCCACTAAGAATTCTGGTATAAAACCAATACAAAATAAATTTGTTCTAAAATAAATGCATACACCAAAATTCAAATCAAATCAAAATCTAGTCAAAGGAACCACGTTAAACTAGCAATTGCTTATTATCATACAGTTATGCAGTTCAGTCAATCACACACCATTCAGTATGAAATGAAATGTCATATCAAACAATCATTCAAAACAAACATCTTACTAGTAGATGTTCTCAATACAAATGCTCTTGAATCAATATATTTGTTTATCTTATCACTAACACTTCCTCTATCTTTGCTTGATTCATCTATAACCCTCCTGCTCACATTATACATGGAGCCTGCATCATACCTGGATGTCGGTACTATCAAATCAATCTTCTCTCAATTTGTCCCTTTCTAACAACTCAGAAAACTCTTGAATCTGTAGAGGCACTAATGGATGTCTTAATTCCTTGTTCAATCCTTGCAAAAATCTATAACACTTTTTTTCAGCTGTGGGTATCAAATAAAGAGCATACATAGCCAATGCAGTAAGCTCAGCTTCATACTGCATCACTTTCTTGCATCCCTATTCCAATCCGATAAATGCTTCTTGCATCTATTGTCAGGCTGATAGAGATAAACCAAATCATGAACATGGCAATAAACTTGTCCCAAGTAATCTCTGCATCGACTTTACCCTAAAATTTATCTTATTGTTGTCTGACCCACCATCTCTCTGTTTCACCTTCAAATAGAAAAATAGCAAGCATTGCATACTGTCGAATATCTTCTCTATCCTCAGTAGTCAATCTTCTGCAATATGGAGTCCTATAGCTTCCTTGAGCAGTGAGGGCTTTAGTTTATGAAATGTATGTAAATGTTCACCCCCCTCTTCTTCTTTGTTCCCAGTTTGTTTACTCTATGTAACTCTCATTACTTGTGCTATAATACTAGCCAACTGCATAACACTGTCTGATGGTACTGGAGTTGCACTGTATTGTTCATTTGGTATATTTTGCTCTAGCAGATCTATTTCAATTGTTCACTTACACAATTTTATCTTAAAAATTCAGGCATGCAATCAATTAATTATGCACAATAATGTCTCTTAATCTACTCAATCTTACCTAACAGAATTAATTTCTACAGTTCTTGTGACAATTAAATTCTTTCAAAAATCATGTTCTGATACCAAGTTTGTGACTCCCAAAAATCTAATTTAAAAGAATAAATTTTTTTATCTTTTAATTAACAACCAATACAATCTAATTTTTTCCAATAATAAAATATCAGCGAAAAATAAAATTTATTGATCAAAATATCAATATACATCTGTTATCTGATAGGAAATACTTGGTTTTTGCAAGTATCCCTAAGGGTAAACTTGAGTTCTCAAGCAGTCCTTACACCAAACGAAGAGCAAACAGCAGAAAATCTGCTGTTCACAGCAGGAAAACAGCAAAACCACAAGGAAATCTGAGAGAAAACTCAAGAAGAAACTTGGATTTCACTAGACGATGAAGTAAAATAGCAAAGATACACTTGTTCTTCAATCCGAGAGGAAGAACAACTCTTCAATCTCCTGCAATCGCCAAGAGCCCAAAGCACAAGAAACCCTAGATCTCAAATTCTCATTCAAATTCAAGATGATCCCCAATTCCCCCCCCCCTCCCCAATCTCCAAATTAAACAAATTAATCATAAAGGACAATAATCATCTTCCTAAAACAGCCTCTCACATTCACATTTTCGCTCCTAATAGCAATCAATACAAGTTTGGCCCACCCATGAGTCCCGCCCCCTTGCTTGGTCTGTTCCGGCATGAATAGACCTGGACCGGTCCAGCCGGCCCCTCCTGGGCCGGCGGCTTATCAATACTCCCCTCCCAAAAACTCACCTTGTCCTCAAGGTGAAAGGAAGGGAATTACTCTTTCATTCTTTCCACTGGCTCCCAAGTAGCATCGAAATCGGGAAGGCCTCTCCACCTAATCAGCATTTCTTTGTTGCCATCCTTATCTGATCTTACGCCTGTAATCTCCATAGGCTCTAATATTACTTCCAAATCCTCAGTCAGTGTCACAGGTAACTCCGTACTAGCTGCATGCTCCCCAATAACTCTCCTCAACTCACTACAGGAAAACCTGTTATTACCGGCGGACAGAATCCGCCGGAACTAATGTAATATCCGACGGAACCGTTAGTTTCCGGCGCATGTTCCGGCGCAAAGCTCTCCACCGGTTTCGGGTGCGTCGATAATTTTTTTCCGACGCATATGTTGCGCCGGAAATAGTTCCGGCGCAGTTTCCGACGCACTACCGGCGCATTAAACGTTTTGTTTGCCGACGTGAAAAATGGGAGAATTCCGGCGCCTTATGCGCCGGTAATTACCGTCGTATCATGCGACGGTAATCAACGGCGGATAAGGCGCCGGAGTTGCGTCATCGAAATTCCACGCTTGGTTTACGACGCAATTGTTGCGCCGGTAATTTCCGGCGTCAGTTTCACCGGCGTTATTTCCGGCGCAATGGACGCCGGTAAATTTCCGGCGTCAGTTCCGCCGGAAATAACACCGTAAACTTTACGTCGCATCATTCCGCCGGAACCTGCGCCGTCAATGCCGGCGCAAAAAAATCCGCCGGAAATTCCGATGGTAATCGCGTGTTTTCCCGTAGTGATTGTGATACATGAAAAACTGGATGTATGGTAGCTGATGGGGGCAACTTTAATCGGTATGCCACAGCTCCGATCTTATCCAACACTTCATAGGGGCCGAAGTACCTTGGTGCCAATTTCTCATTCCTCCTTGCCACTGTCTGCTGCCTGTAGGGTCGTAATTTGAGAAAGACTTTCTCTCCAACTTCAAACTGCATGTCTCTTCTATGTGAGTCTGCCTGTTTTTTCATGAGTTGTTGGGCCCTCAGCAGATGTTTCTTCAAATCTTCGAGCACCTTGTCCCTTTCTTCCAGATACTGCTCAACTGAAGAGACCTGTGTATTTCCTTTTCCGTAGTGCACTAGGTGTGGGGGGTCCCTTCCATACAGCACCTTGAAGGGCGTTATCTGAGAGGCAGAATGATGCAAGGTATTATACCAATACTCCGCCCAAGGCAACCACTTCGCCCACATCCGTGGTGTTTCCGAAGCGAAACACCTCAAATAAGTCTCCAGACTTCGATTTACTACCTCTGTCTGCCCATCTGTCTGTGGATGGTAGGCGGTGCTTCTCTTGAGGATAGTCCCCTGCAGCCGGAACAATTCCCTCCAAAATTGGCTGAGAAACACCTTGTATCGATCTGACACTATCGATTCAGGGATCCCATGTAGTCTAACCACTTCCCTGATAAATGCTACTGCCACTGACACAGCAGTGTAGGGGTGTCGCAATAGGATACAATGTGCATAATTACTGAGTTTGTCTACCACCACCAGGATAACAATGTATCCCTCTGATCGTGGTAAGCCGTCGATGAAGTCTATGGACACTTCCTCCCATACTCTGTTGGGAAGTGCCAAGGGTTGTAGCAG